AAAGAGACGTGTTACCATGGAAACCAAACAATGGTGTAGCTGTATTAAAGTCCGGGTGGAAACAGTCCTGAGTAAATCTGATTTTGTCAGAAATCGGGAGAAATATGACCCCGGGAGGAAACCGGGAGAGGGCAACGAAATCGGGAGTCTCCCGCGAAAATCGGGAGGGTTGACAAGTATGGATAAACCCCTTGAGATACACCATCTCGTTTTCAAGGGGGTCCCGACAATAGCAACAAACCACATACAGTCTGTTAAGTACAATTCAAGCAATGCACACAATCATTACAATGAGACAGTCGAGCAAATCAGTTTCATCAATAACAAGTGCAGACCAGTTGAAAGTGAGATAACAATGCATGTTTAAACATACCCAATGATGCAAGAGATCTAACAGCAGCAGGTCAAGTATTCCAGTCTGTTGGGGCTTTGAACATGAACGCTCTTCTGCCAATCGATTTTTTTGGCAGAGGGGACAGAGAAATAAATCTGAACAGAATGTCTAACTTGATGATTTGACGAGTAGGGTACGAAATACTGCTTTAAATAAGGGGGATAGTTAAGATAAATGCATTTAAATATCAGCTGGAGCCAATGCGTGTGTCTTCTTACATTTTAAAGAAGGCCATTTTAAGTTGAATATGGTCTTTTAAAAGAGTGAACAGGCCAGTCGATGCTATTTTCACATCTCTTACTAGTTTATGTGGCNCAATATAATGTTTGTGTAGCAATAATACACATGACATATATTTTTTACATGTCTCCAGTACCGATCGCTAACGTCGGAGCTTAACGGTACCACGGTCTTTAATAATTCAGCCCCGGGGCCCGTTTAATACCGGGGCTCGGTACCCATCCCTACTTACAAGCATTTTGTAACTTTTCTTTCAGGGAAAACTGACAAAATCATCATCCTTCTTTCCCTCTCCTTCACACTAATACCACAATAATAGTGCTTCAGGTATCTGGACAGATACAATTAGATTAGAAATAAAGTGCGATACATCTCACCTCATCTCACATGTTTCACTTTCTAAGAAGAAAACAGGTGCAACAAACTTAATGTAACTTCCTCCATGGCTTAGTTTGAACTATCAGATGTTTCATATATGCAAGCTTTTTTGTCTTCTTTACTCACAATGAAAGAACTTGCACACCAACGAAAAGGTGTGTGTATATCGACATTTTTATTCATTGGGACAAACCCCTTGAGATGCACCGTCTCGTTTTCAAGGGGGTCTCGACGATAGCAACAACTTACAGGCATACATAAACAAAAAGACAAAATGCAAAACATGACACACAAGACAAACCACATGCAGTCTGTTAAGTGAAATTCAAGCAATGCATACGATCAATACAATTTGAGACAGTCGAGCAGATCAGTTTCATCAACATCAGTTAATAACAAGTACAGACCGGTTGAAAGTGAGATCACAATGCATGTTTAAATATACCCAATGATGCAAGAGATCTAATAGCAGCAGCAGGTCAAGTATTCCAGTCTGTTGGGGCTTTGAACATGAACGCTCTTCTGCCAATCCATTTTTTTGCAGAGGGGACAGAGAAATAAATCTGAACAGAATGTCTAACTTGATGATTTGGCGAGTAGGGTACAAAATACTGCTTTAAATATGATGGGGATAGTTAAGATAAATGCATTTAAATATCAGCTGAAGCCAATGCGTGTGTCTTCTTACATTTAAAGAAGGCCATTTAAGTTGGTTATACATTATGCAGTGATGTGTACGAAAAGGACAACCAAGAACAAATCTGCATAGTTTGTGGTAGGCTATGTTGAGTGGAGCAAGATCTGATTTATGTGCATTTTGGAAGACAACATCACAATAGTCCATAATCGGAAGAATAAGTTGAGAAGCAATTCTCTTTCGGACACTGAGCGTAAAACAATTGCGAGAGCGTTTGTGTGGTTGTACACTATCTGTGCTCTATGCAATATGAGACTGGAGGCAGATACTTCTATGTCGACATCCTTTTCTGCTAAATGTTCCAGAGGATAGAGCACTAAGTGGATGGTTTGAATCTGTGTGTTCAGCTTAGGGAGGCAGCAGCTCGGCCCCCAGCAGCAGGAGATGGCGTCTGACGGAGCAGCGATCATCCCTGTCACTCAGGCTGTACCCGCCGGGGAGCGCCACGACAGGGTCTGGCACTACGACGAGGAGTTCCGGTCGGGTGCTGGGTCTCCTAAACCAGCATCCTGTGGATCCCTGGAGCAGGGAGAGGGGGCGGCCATCAGCGGGGGCTTTGTGGCCCTGAACCTGAGCTCTGGGAGGCAGGACATTGACTCCAGGGAGTGGGTAATGGTGGAGAGGCCCGGTGGCTCTCCAGGAGCCAAGACCGCCACCTCAGAGGAGGATGAGGAGCCAGAGCTGCTCCAGCGGGGGGATCAGTCTCCGGGCTGGGAAAAGTGCAGCCCCAGCCCTCTCTCTGGCAAAGCTAGACGAGAAAGCACGGCTTCCTCCAAGGGAAGTACAAAAGTGGACAAGTTGGAGCTTAGCGTGGGCCCCATCGGGAGTCTGCCTCCCGTTACTCCTACCAGCCCGGGTGAAGCTCTGGCTGAAGGAGTTCTCACTCAGGTAAGCACTTTCCTTTGAAGGCCTTCTCACAACATGGCCTACATGTGACTGATTTTACAAAGTTAAAAAGCTCTACAGAAACAAATGCTTATATCATACAGCAGTCAGAGTCCCACCAGCTGCATCTCGCTGTAGTTTCAAGCTAAATGTTCCTGCTTTATGTTTTCTCACTTATTCGCCTGTGTTTATGTGTTAGAGAAATATATATGTGTCACAACTGCAGAGCTTATCAGATCACAGCATGGGGGAAAGAAAGCTTATTGAAATGCACTTTGATTTGCAATAAATATGCTTACATTTATCCTATTTTGCAGACATTTTCCAATATATTTGGTTGGTTTTTATTTACTTCCCAAATTCAATAATTTGCTTATTATATATATGCTTTTTTTTATGCTGATTTTAAATTACTTTTTTGCTCTTTTACTTTTGTATAACTTTCAGCCAGCTCTCCGAAATCTAAAAGTTAAAACACTTTTACAATTGTTGAGCAACTTTTTAAACGACAGGAGGAATAACTGTCCCCTCACTCTCTCTTCTACAACCAGAACAACTTCCTCCATGTTCATAATGTCCACGATCTGCCCAAAATGCTTCGCCTCTGTCTTCCTCCCCTAGCCTAAGATCCTCCTCCTATCTTAATAATCCTCCCGTCGCATTCTCGCTTGAGAACAACTCATCCTCCTGCTCCCCACGGTAACTCCCGCCATCTCCTCCCTCCCTCCCTCACCAGTCTCACAACCCCTCCTCTCTCCTTCCCCTCTCTTAGTTCCCCACCTCTCCTCCGTCCCTGCCTGAGGAAGTCGCTTTCCGGACCTCCAGCCCCATCCCTCTGCGCTCTCCCAGCCCTCACACACTCCTGACCACCCTGTCGGACCCGTTGCACCTGCGCCACCCTCCCTCCCTGAGGCGCAGCATGTCCGTCGACCCGCAGCAGCAGGAGCGCGCCTCCTCCTCCTCCTCTTGCCACGCCTCCCTCCCACAGTACCCCGCCCCCGGCACCCGCTCACCCGCTCGCAGGAAACTACCAGCCATCCCGGCGGGCGCTGCCAACGCCAAGTTTCCCTCCGTCATACGCATCACTCGTGCCCAGCTGCAGCAGGTGATGAGCCCATCACTAAAAAAACAACTTCATTCAGCTTCCTCCACGTCATAACCAACAACACCGGCTGTCAACATTTTCCTTCTTTCTTTCTTTTTCTATTTGTTTTTTTCGTTTCAGTTGCTTATTTTGGCTTCTTTGTTCAGTCGGCTTGCTTATTGTGTTGATGTCCGGCAGCTCTCTCCAGAAACCATGAGGGGGCATTGTGCAGGCCAGACAGAGCATGGGTCAGATGTGTCCTTGTGTCTGGACATGTGTCCTTGTGATCTGAATAGGGGGTGTGTGTTTGTCTGATTGTGGCATGTGTGTTTGGAATGTCGAGTCATGACTACAGGTCGCATGGTCTCTTTTGTTTCAGATCGTCTTTGTCCTCTCTATCTTTCTCTTTCTCTCTCTCTCCCTGTATTTGTTCCTCACCCTCTCTTCGCTGAAGCCCCCTGCGAAGTTGCGTGAACGTTTCCTCTCCTACTTGCTGGTTTAGTACTCACAGCTTGACTGACACTGCCATAGCACTTGTGTGTTTCGGTCTGGTAGCTATGGTATTGCATGCTGTTGCCAAACTAATCACCATTGGTTACCCCATATTATAAAATTCTTCTCTTTTCACACATCTGCATCAGGCTCTTGCTACAGAACTACAGCACAACTCGACATGTTGTAGTCTATCAGCAACATGCCTTTGACAACTAGAATATTTTTCCCATTTTAGTATGGTTGATTTTTTTAAATAACACTTGTGTTTCTTTTTCCTCCCATGTCTCCACTTCCCCCCCCCCCCCTCCAGTTGACGGCTCAGCGTCCCTCTGGGCTCTCCTCCCTGTCGGGATCAGACAGTGCTCAACAGTGCCTCCTGCTGGAGAGGCGGAGTGAGGCTGAAGCCGAGGCTCAGCAGGTGCAGGAGCGCACAGCGGACATCAGCTCCCCCCAGGACCATGTGCCCACCAATCCCGGGACTCCTACAGACCCCCTGGCTGAGATAATGGTCAATGGAGACATGTTTCCCAAAACTCAGGGCCCTCCGCCAAACCGTTTGTCTTCCCCTCGTTCCCTACGTTCCCCACACTCGCCTCCTCTGCGCTTGCCTTCCTCTCCTCGCTCTCCTCGCTCCCCTCACTCCCCTCACTCCCCTCACTCCCTTCACTCTCCTCGAAGCCCCTTGTTTGCCAATGGCCACCTCTCCCCCACTGTTAACAGCCAAAGGGATTTAAGTAACGGGGCGTTCCCCAAGCTGAAGGACCCTGAGAATGATTCTGGCCCGACTCCCTGTGCCACAGAGCCTCAGCTGAGGGGGGAGGCGAGCAGAGAGGTGAACCACGATCACACCGATGGACCACCCTCCTCCTCCCCGGCTGCCCCCCGTAAGGCCCCCAGCCGGAGGCACAGTCGCATCCCAGTCCTGGAGCCCTCCAGCCTGTTGGATCTCCCTCCTGCGGGGTCTGCCAAGGAGAAACTCCTACAGAAGAAAGCCAACCACCACGGATCGGCCCCCTCTCCCACTGCTTCCCCCTCCCTCTCTGATAGGCGTGGCCCCATGGTGGCGTCCCTCGCTAGGGACCCGCTGTCCTCCACCTCTGACCGCTCTCAGGACGAGGACTCTCTCATGGGCTCCCGCTCAGACCGGCAGGGAGACGACGGCCCCTCCCTCTCCTCCTCCTCCAGCCCTCTGTCCCGCAAGAGCAGGATCCCGCGTCCCGTTCATCCGGTATCTTCTGCTGAGCAGCTGGCCGCCCAATACCTGCCGCGCCCGCCCCCTGGAAAACCACCGGGCCGCCCCACAGCGGAGGGCAGG